TCCCCCCCCCGCGGAGCCAGCGATGACCCCGAGAAAACCAACACCACCTACCTGGATGACTCGCAGCCAGCCCAGGGTGAGTGCCACAGCGGGGCCGGGGGCGCTGCGGTGACCTGCCAGCCATCGCCCACCAGTAACACCCACTGCACCCACAGCAGCACCCCCAGCTCCCGGCAGGGGCAAAGCAGCACCCGGACCCTCCCCTCTCCTGCATGCAGCCCCCAGCCCTGAGGCAGGGGTGGCCACAAACCCCCTGCGCCCTCCATCGAGGCCCCGGGTGCAGCAAGTTTGCCAGGCCTCAGCTGGGGATGTTGGCATGCACTACAGCGTGGGGGGACGCTGGTTGCTGACCCCCTTCTCCATAGATATCACCATCAAAGTGGAGGACCCCGACTGCCTGTCGTCCTCCAGCTACCGGGATGTGGAGAGCGAGCGGTTCCTGTCCTCCAGCTCCTCCACCGCCCGCCGCGTCTCCTTCAACGAGGCCGCGCTCTTCGACCAGGGCAAGAAGACCCAGGAGAAGGGGAGGAGGTGAAGCACCAGGCTGGGCTGGGGGATGTGGGGGGCCAGGGCTGCCCCCCCTAACCCGGCGTGCCCGGCAGGTACACGCTGACGGAGGGTTTTTTCTCCCCCCCCCTAAAGCACCCCCGCCTGCCCCCCCTGCCCCTCCCGCCGCCCGCCCTCAAGATCGTCACCATCCACGAGTGCGAGTCCAGCGAGAACAGCCTGGCCATGACCCCCCGCCTGCCCCCGCCCAAGCCCGGCCTCGCCATCTTCCAGGTGAGCCCCCAGCACCCCAGGGGGATGGGGGTCCTGTGGCACCCCAGGGAGGCACCGCCAGACCTGGGGTGGGAGTCTTGGGGCATTGCTGGATGTGGGGATGGGAGGTCCTGGGGTGCGGGGGCCCCCTCCTGGTCCCTGCCCCTGGGGCAAAGCCCCCTGAGCATGCTCTGCCTTGCAGCCCCCCGCGGGGGCCCTGCCCCAGCCGGCGCTCCCCAGCCATGCCGTGTGCCCCAGCTCCGCCCTGCCCGGGGACAC